AAGTTACTGAAAGATACACTTTTCTTTTTAAAAGCTGACGACTACCATGAAAGTACTCTGTTTTATTAGATTTCGTAAAGCATCTTACTCTTAATGGCAGTTTGTGATTTTGAGGCTATTTCAGTAAAACAAGGCTGTTTTGAAACATTTGACAGATTTATGCTTAACTCTCTCAAAAAGTTACTGAAAGATACACTTTTGTATTTAAAAGCTGAAAAAGTAGATAATGAAGTATTTGTGTCCGTAGATTTCGTTAAGAATCTGACTCTTAATGGCAGTTTGTGATTTTGAGGCTATTTCAGTGAAACAAGGCTGTTTTCAAACATTTGACAGATGTATGCTTAACTCTCTCAAAAAGTTACTGAAAGATACACTTTTGTATTTAAAAGCTGAAAAAGTAGATAATGAAGTATTTGTGTCCGTAGATTTCGTTAAGAATCTGACTCTTAATGGCAGTTTGTGATTTTGAAGCTATTTCAGTGAAACAAGGCTGTTTTGAAACATTTGACAGATTTATGCTTAAATTCTCTGAGAAAGTTACTGAAAGATACAAGTTTGTGTTTAAAAGCTGACCACTACCATGAAGTACTCTGTTTGAGTAGATTTCGTTAAGAATCTTTGACAGATTTATGCTTAAATTCTCTCAGAAAGTTACTGAAAGATACACTTTTGTATTTAAAAGCTGAAAAGTAGATAATGAAGTACTTTGTATTGGTAGATTTCGTTAAGAATCTGACTCTTAATGGCAGTTTGTGATTTTGAGGCTATTTCAGTAAAACAAGGCTGTTTTGAAACATTTGACAGATTTATGCTTAAATTCTCTGAGAAAGTTACTGAAAGATACACTTTTGTGTATAAAAGCTGAAAAGTAGATAATGAAGTACTTTGTATTAGTAGATTTCGTCAAGCATCTGACTCTTAATGGCAGTTTGTGATTTTGAGGCTATTTCAGTTAAACAAGGCTGTTTTGAACATTTGACAGATGTATGCTTAATTCTCTCAAAAAGTTACTGAAAGATACACTTTTCTTTTTAAAAGCTGACCACTACCATGAAAGTACTCTGTTTTATTAGATTTCGTAAAGCATCTGACTCTTAATGGCAGTTTGTGATTTTGAGGCTATTTCAGTTAAACAAGGCTGTTTTGAACATTTGACAGATTTATGCTTACATTTAGGGCTGTGCGATTATGGCAAAAATCATAATCACGATTATTTTGGTCAATAATTGATATCACGATTATTTTGACGATTATTCATTGACCATTTATTGAACTTTAAAACAAATAATATTTTACCAATAAACAAGATCAACAAATATGTTGGAGCGCACTTCCAAAACCATACTAAACATATATTATTAATATGATAAATAAAAATAAATTAGACCAAAATAAATTAAATCCAATATGTTGCAGTGCACTGTCACAACCTACTGAAAACTCCTTAACATAGCCAACATTTTGGTAAAACATATTCATTATTCCACTCAGTTAAACGTTGAAGGCTGGCCAACCGTCATGGTCCAGAAGTAACAGGAAATAAATGTTGAACTACAATTTAAGACCAAATAAAAATGTTTAGGCCACCATGACAAATGCTGGTAGGGCTGCTCATGTCATCTCTTAAAGATTTTTTCAAGAAACAACAGTCTGTTTACATGGTCTGGTTTCAGAAATGAGCGCAGGCAGGTGACGATATTGCCACCTGTACTGAAGACCCTCAGCCACGCCCCGACACATGGGGAGACGCCGGCCAATCACAAAGCTTTGATGCGTTCAAGTGCATTATTCTGGCACAGGAAGATTATGTTACAGGACATTAACGATACAACAGAATATTGTTGTTCTATTTTTAGACACATCTCGCGATCGACTGGTTGGGCACCCCTGGGCTAGACCATAGGTCCGTTGTGGTCGCAAAGTAGTCAGCTGAAGCCACATCTCTCAACTTCCCCACTGCATATGTCACATAGCGCAGGCAGCGCAGACCTGCTGAAATAATACCGTGACGGCATCGCGTAACGCTTGTCCAACGTGTTGACAAGTTGCTTAAAGCCCTGGTTGCTAACAGTGCTAACTGGGCACATATCTTTAGCGATGTGGAATGTAATGGCAAAGTACTTGCAAATAGTGGAAATAGTTTTACCCTTCTTTTTAACGAGTTGCTGCTCTTGTTCTGACATCTTCGCTCGCGCTGAACACTCACAACACATGTCACTCCCACGTGGCCGAGTGGGCTTTTAGGGAGGGGTGAAGCGCACCCAGCAAAATAATCGTATTTTGTCAATTATGCTGTTTTCATAATCGTCGCAAGCCATAATCGTAATCGCGATTAAAATACGATTAATTGCACAGCCCTACTTAAATTCTCTGAGAAAGTTACTGAAAGATACACTTTTGTATTTAAAAGCTGAAAAGTAGATAATGAAGTACTTTGTATTAGTAGATTTCGTTAAGAATCTGACTCTTAATGGCAGTTTGTGATTTTGAGGCTATTTCAGTGAAACAAGGCTGTTTTTAAACATTTGACAGATTTATGCTTAAATTCTCTGAGAAAGTTACTGAAAGATACAAGTTTGTGTTTAAAAGCTGACCACTACCATAAAGTACTCTGTTTGAGTATATTTCAGCACAAAGGGTCTGACAGAAAAAACATAATGTTTTGAACATTTGGCAGATTTATGCTTACATTCTCTGAGAAAGTTACTGAAAGATACACTTTTGTGTATAAAAGCTGAAAAGTAGATAATCAAGTACTTTGTGTCAGTAGATTTCGTTAAGAATCTGACTCTTAATGGCAGTTTGTGATTTTGAGGCTATTTCAGTCAAACAAGGCTGTTTTGAACATTTGACAGATGTATGCTTAATTCTCTCAAAAAGTTACTGAAAGATACACTTTTCTTTTTAAAAGCTGACCACTACCATGAAAGTACTCTGTTTTATTAGATTTTGTAAAGCATCTGACTCTTAATGGCAGTTTGTGATTTTGAGGCTATTTCAGTGAAACAAGGCTGTTTTGAACATTTGACAGATGTATGCTTAATTCTCTCAAAACGTTACTGAAAGATACACTTTTCTTTTTAAAAGCTGACCACTACCATGAAAGTGCTCTGTTTTATTAGATTTCGTAAAGCATCTGACTCTTAATGGCAGTTTGTGATTTTGAGGCTATTTCAGTGAAACAAGGCTGTTTTGAACATTTGACAGATGTATGCTTAATTCTCTCAAAAAGTTACTGAAAGATACACTTTTCTTTTTTAAAAGCTGACCACTACCATGAAAGTACTCTGTTTTATTAGATTTCGTAAAGCATCTGACTCTTAATGGCAGTTTGTGATTTTGAGGCTATTTCAGTGAAACAAGGCTGTTTTGAACATTTGACAGATTTATGTTTAATTCTCTCAGAAAGTTACTGAAAGATACACTTTTCTTTTTAAAAGCTGAAAAAGTAGATAATGAAGTATTTGTGTCCGTAGATTTCGTTAAGAATCTGACTCTTAATGGAAGTTTGTGATTTTGAGGCTATTTCAGTGAAACAAGGCTGTTTTGAAACATTTGACAGATTTATGCTTAAATTCTCTGAGAAAGTTACTGAAAGATACACTTGTTGTGTATAAAAGCTGAAAAGTAGATAATGAAGTACTTTGTATTAGTAGATTTTGTCAAGCATCTGACTCTTAATGGCAGTTTGTGATTTTGAGGCTATTTCAGTGAAACAAGGCTGTTTTGAACATTTGACAGATTTATGTTTAATTCTCTCAGAAAGTTACTGAAAGATAAACTTTTGTGTTTAAAAGCTGACCACTACCATGAAGTACTTTGTTTTAGTAGATTTCGTCAAGCATCTGACTCTTAATAGCAGTTTGTGATTTTGAGGCTATTTCAGTGAAACAAGGCTGTTTTGAACATTTGACAGATTTATGTTTAATTCTCTCAAAAAGTTACTGAAAGATACACTTTTCTTTTTAAAAGCTGACGACTACCATGAAAGTACTCTGTTTTATTAGATTTCGTAAAGCATCTTACTCTTAATGGCAGTTTGTGATTTTGAGGCTATTTCAGTGAAACAAGGCTGTTTTGAAACATTTGACAGATGTATGCTTAACTCTCTCAAAAAGTTACTGAAAGATACACTTTTCTTTTTAAAAGTTGACGACTACCATGAAAGTACTTTGTGTCAGTAGATTTCGTTAAGAATCTGACTCTTAATGGCAGTTTGTGATTTTGAGGCTATTTCAGTGAAACAAGGCTGTTTTCAAACATTTGACAGATGTATGCTTAACTCTCTCAAAAAGTTACTGAAAGATACACTTTTGTATTTAAAAGCTGAAAAAGTAGATAATGAAGTATTTGTGTCCGTAGATTTCGTTAAGAATCTGACTCTTAATGGCAGTTTGGGATTTTGAGGCTATTTCAGTGAAACAAGGCTGTTTTGAAACATTTGACAGATTTATGCTTAAATTCTCTGAGAAAGTTACTGAAAGATACAAGTTTGTGTTTAAAAGCTGACCACTACCATGAAGTACTCTGTTTGAGTAGATTTCGTTAAGAATCTTTGACAGATTTATGCTTAAATTCTCTCAGAAAGTTACTGAAAGATACACTTTTGTATTTAAAAGCTGAAAAGTAGATAATGAAGTACTTTGTATTGGTAGATTTCGTTAAGAATCTGACTCTTAATGGCAGTTTGTGATTTTGAGGCTATTTCAGTAAAACAAGGCTGTTTTGAAACATTTGACAGATTTATGCTTAAATTGTCTGAGAAAGTTACTGAAAGATACACTTTTTGTGTATAAAAGCTGAAAAGTAGATAATGAAGTACTTTGAATTAGTAGATTTCGTCAAGCATCTGACTCTTAATGGCAGTTTGTGATTCTGAGGCTATTTCAGTGAAACAAGGCTGTTTTGAACATTTGACAGATTTATGTTTAATTCTCTCAGAAAGTTACTGAAAGATACACTTTTGTGTTTAAAAGCTGACCACTGACTTCCGGTCTGAGCGGAGCCATGTGAGGTCGCATTTCTCGAGCTCCTCGCCAGAATCAGAATATTTATATTAGACAACTACCCTCTACACTATATTCAAGCAACTTTAATCTAAACTGTTCTTCCTTGCCTCCGCCCAACAGTTTCATTCGAAATATGTCGTCTTCCTCTCGCAAAAAGACGTCTGCTGCGCCAGATCCGAAAGCTAATAGTGCTAGCCCGGCTAAAGGTGCTGGGGCAGGGCCCCTAGCTGCTAGCGCAGCACGAGGTGATGAGACCGCGATTCTACGGGCCATTCAATCTCTCAGAGAGGACCTGCTGAAGAAAATTGATGACAACGCCGAGATGCAGTCTAAAGAACTACGACGTGAAATAAGCCAACTGAGGGACGAGCTGAGATCCGCCGTTGACCGCGTCAGCAGCCGCACCAAGTGTTTGGAGGACCGGGTCGAGAGCCTGGATACTGCCGCTAATGATCACTCGGACCTCATTACCACTCTCGAACGAGACGTGCAGCAGCTAAAAAAGGACATGAAAATCTTCTCTGACAGGAGTGAGGACCTGGAGGCGCGGTCTAGGAGGTGCAACCTCCGCATCACCGGGATACAAGAAAGACGGGAGGCAGGGAAGAACCCAACTGACTTTGTAGCTAAACTACTCCAGGAAACGCTGGGCTTAGAAAAAGAGCCACTACTAGACATATGCCATCGCACCCTACGGGAACGGCCCCAGGAGGACCAGCCACCCCGCGCCTTTGTGGTGAGATTTCACTATTACCGGGAGAAGGAAGCGACCCTCCGCAAGGCAGCCACGGCCACAGATCCGACAACGTCACACGGAGACAGGATCAGAGTATTCCCCGACTATACCCAAGCAGTCGCGAAGCAGAGAGCCGCCTTCAGGGATGTGAAAGGCATGCTAAGAGGCTGTGATGGTGTCAAGTACGGACTGTGGTATCCCTCGGTTTTGCGGATCACAACGGCCGATGGAAAGCGACACAGTTTCACAGACCCGGGGGAGGCGAAGGACTTTGTTTTGAGGAACGTGGCTAAACAGAGCGGCTAAGATGCTAGGTAAGCTGACTGACGAACTAATGCAGCGCCGGATAGCGGCGTTGCATTTCCCACATGTACGTATATGGGGCTGTGGGCTAGGGCTTGCTACGAATGTTTGTGGTTTTTCTTATTATTGTGTAATTTAAGCCAGCTCGCGCTGCTCATACTAGCCCACATTTTATAACAGCCAGTTGGCTTACAGCCCGCTAGTTCAAGCAACTGCTCTCCTATACTCCTGGGGAGGTTCACGTTTTTCTGGCTCTACTTTTCATTCAACAATCAATACTGGATGTCTGCATATGTTGTCATAACTGGTTAACAAGTATGTTACTTTTACTGAGACCATGTTATGAATGTTCAACTTAGAGGTGTGTCTATATCTATTAGCACAAGGTTTATCTAAAGCTATTGATGGTTCTGGCGGGGCTCGATCTCGCCAGGTAAGCTGTCCACGTTGAGGTGCGAGTATTATCGGGGGCGGGTAGCAGTCCCTCAGTTGGGGAGGGACCAGCTCTTTATTGTGAATGTTGTTTCAATCACTTCAATTACATATGGACCTTCTATTTTAGGTTCTCAATGGTGTTTATGTTCTTATTGCTGTGTGTTTTATTTCAGTTTTTTCAGTTTTTTTAAGGTGACCCATCCCCCCTTTCCCTCCCTTCCTCTCCCTCACCCTTCTGACAGGGGGCTAGATTACTGTCCAAGGTCCCACAATGACCCAGGCAAACAGGGCAACGAGTGTAGGTAAGGCGGCAACTACTTTGGTTAGCTGGAATGTTAGAGGTCTCAATCATCCAGTAAAGCGCAGCAAAGTGTTTTCCCACCTCCAGAAGCTAAAAGCAGACATAGTATATCTCCAGGAAACTCATTTACGTACTTCTGATCACTCTAGACTCAAGCGGGGTGGTTTCTCTCACATTTTCCACTCCAAATTCAACACCAAATATAGGGGTGCAGCGATCCTGATACGTAGGCATGTGCAGTTTGTGGAATCTAAAGTAATTGCAGATACAAATGGCCGCTATATCATAGTGCAAGGTCAATTGTACAACACACCTGTTGTGCTTGCATGTCTCTATGCTCCCAACTCAGATGATGCCGATTTCTTTGGCAATTTCTTCTCTCTGCTCCCGGATTTGAACTCCCATCACCTAATTTTGGGGGCAGACTTAAACTGTGCCCTCAATCACACTCTGGACCGCTCCACTGTCTCCTCTAGACCACTGTCAAACTCAGCTCGAGTGGTGAACTCCTTTGTGGAAGAATACGGCATGGTGGACCCATGGCGATTTAAGAACCCAACATCTAAACAATTTTCATTTTTTTCTACAGCGCAGCAGTCATTCTCCAGAATAGATTACTTCATTTTAGACAAAAAGTTACTGTCTGTGCTTGAGTCCAGTGACTATGAGAGCATTGTTATTTCTGACCACAGCCCAGTGACCATGAAACTTTGTTTTCCAAACCATGTACCACCACAAAGGATCTGGCGTCTAAACCCACGCTTATTATTAGATGAAGATTTTATTAAGTATATTTCCACGCACATCGATACCTTTCTTGAAATAAACCGTCAACCAGAGATGAGTATAGGCACTGTATGGGAGGCCATGAAGGCTTATCTTCGTGGGCAAATAATATCATATTCAATCAGTATTAGCAGGAAAAAGACAAAGCGAATGACAGAACTTGTTAATCGGATCAGAGACATTGATAGAATACACTCAACAAAGCCCTCTGCTGAACTGTATAAGGAACGCATTACAGTGCAGGTGGAATATGACTCTCTGGCATCCACCTACGTAGAGGACCTTCATCTGAGATCTAGGCAGACCCATTATGAACACGGGGAGCAGGCCAGTAAACTACTCTCCCATCAACTAAGGCAGTCGGCTGCAGACAGTTTAATTGCGGAAATTGGAACGGTAAATGGGGACACCATTTCAGATCAGAGGGGCATTAATGATCAATTTAAGAGTTTCTATGAAGATCTTTATTCATCAGAAGTCTCGGATGACTCTCTGACAACTAACTTTCTAAAGGACCTTAAGCTTCCAACACTGGATCCTGACGGTGTCTCGGCTTTAGAGGGGGACATTTCTAATGAGGAGATAAACCGCGCTATTAAAAGTATGAAAAGTGGAAAAGCCCCCGGACCGGACGGCTTCCCTACTGAATTCTATAAAAAATTTGCTGGCAAACTGACACCTGTGCTGCGCGAAGTATATGCAGAGGCACTCCAGCAGGGTTCACTGCCCCCCACATTAGCTCAGGCGGTAATAACAGTCATCCTTAAAAAGGGCAAAGATCCAGCGAAATGCGACTCCTACAGACCAGTAAGTCTAATCTGTTGTGATAACAAAATTCTCTCCAAAGCTTTAGCTCTGCGCCTTGAGACTGTTCTGAATAGAATCATCCACCCGGACCAAACAGGGTTTGTAAAAGGCCGACAGTCTTTTGGGAATCTTCGGCGTCTATATAATATAATTTACTCAAATCCAGGACTCTCTCCAGAGGCCCTCATCTCTCTAGATGCACACAAAGCCTTTGATCGCATTGAATTTGACTACCTATTTGCAACTCTTGCTAAATTTGGCTTCGGCCCATGCTTTATCTCCTGGATAAAGGTCCTCTACTCTGCACCTCAGGCAGCAGTTCGCACTAATAATATAATTTCGAAATACTTCCGGCTTCAACGGGGCACAAGGCAGGGATGCCCCCTGTCCCCCCTCTTGTTTGATATAGCCATAGAACCGTTAGCAGCTGCTCTCAGGAATCGGTCAAATTTTACAGGAATTCAGTGCGGAGGCTATACACATAAGCTGTCTTTGTATGCAGACGATGTTTTACTGTACTGCTCCGATCCGCTTAGGTCCATTCCGGCTGCACTCGATGTAATCACCTCTTTCGGCAAGGCTTCTGGGTATAAGATCAACATGACCAAGAGTATACTCTTCCCCATCAATGAGACTGCGGCCAAGCTTTCATTTAGCAAACTCCCCTTTAAAGTGGCCATTGACTCTTTCACCTACCTGGGAGTGTGTGTGACACAGGACTTTAAAACCCTGTTTAAAAAGAACCTGCAACCAGCTCTGGACAAGGTTAATGAGGACCTGAAGCGCTGGGCGTCGCTCCCTATTTCGTTGGCGGGCAGGGTGAACACCATTAAAATGGTTATTATGCCACGTATGCTGTATTATTTTCAGTCAATTCCTGTTTTTATCCCTAAAAAGTTTTTTAAAGACCTGGACAAATATATTTCCACTTTTATCTGGAATAAGAAAATTCCCCGTCTGCGTAAGGCATTTCTTGAGAAGAGAAAGTCAGAGGGGGGTCTTGCATTACCCAATTTTTTACACTACTACTGGGCTGCCAATATCCATAAAATGGCATTCTGGATGAGTCATTTCCGGGAAGGGGGCGGTCCTATTTGGTCTAGCATGGAACAACACTCATGTGAACCACTGGCCCCTGCCTCCCTGATGTGTGCTCCTTTACCACTTAGTAGAAAATATCACTCGAACAACCCTGTGGTCAATAGCTCTCTTAGGATATGGTCACAGTTCAGGAGGCATTTTGGATATAGACAAACTATCTCCTCCATCCCCATAGTTCGCAATCCGGCTTTCAAACCAGCCCTGATAGACTCCGCTTTCCACCTGTGGTCCCGGAAGGAACTTAAGTGTGTTGCTGATCTGTTCTATGAAGGGGTATTCACATCCTTTGAACATTTAGTCAAAGAATATGACATCCCAAGGAATCATTATTTTAGATATTTACAAATTCGTGATTATACAAGAAAACAATTTCCCTCCTTCCCAGCCGCCCCACCTGGTGGATAGATGGAAGACTGCCTTGGCCTCAAACCTTGTCAGGGAGGCTATATCTCAAAGCTATATAATATTATTCAAGAAATCTCTAGCCCCTCCCTTAACCACCTTAAGGGTGCCTGGGAAGAAGAAATGGGCATAGAACTAACCGATGAGACCTGGCGGTCTGCAACTGAGAACATACATAAATCCTCCATCTGTGTGAGGCATGGAGTACTTCAATTTAAAGTGTTCCATCGATTACATCTGTGCAGGAGCAGGCTTGCCAGGCTGTACCCTGAGGTGGATCCCACGTGCCAGAGGTGTCATTGTGCCAGGGCTACCCTATTGCACATGTTTTTCTCCTGTCAGTCCATTGCCCCATTTTGGTCTTCTATATTTGAAACGTTTTCAGTGATGTATGGCCAGAACATACAACCAAATCCCATAATAGCTGTGTTTGGAGTAGCCCCTGAGGGGGTCTCCCTCTCTAATTGCCAGTCACACTCACTTGCGTTTGCAACCCTTCTTGCCCGCCGTATAATCCTCCTCAAATGGAAAGACCGGACTCCACCATCTCACGCCCACTGGGTGAGGGATGTGATGGCACATTTGCAGCTGGAGGAGCTGAGGTATCGTAGCCAGGGATGTGTTAACAAATACTACAAGCTCTGGCAGCCTTTCCTTGACTATTTTAGCAAACTCCCCTGTGCAAATCTGACTGCATGAAGCCCCCCCCACCCCCCCCCCCAACCTTCCCTTTTAATGTACTGTTTATTTTAGTGGATTGTATTATTTGTTTATTTTATTTCTTTAAGTGCAGCTGTGGGTGTTTATGGATATGTGTATGTGCGTATATACATATATATTATGTGCTTGCACAGTATATGTACTGCAAGGACATTTGTATTTGTGGTACAAATGTACAAATGTAATTCAATTCAATTGTATGATTACACATCTGCATTTTCATGTGCCCTGCATTGTTTTGGTATAAGTGAAAATCAATAAAGAAAGGTGAAATAAAAGCTGACCACTACCATGAAGTACTTTGTTTTAGTAGATTTCGTCAAGCATCTGACTCTTAATGGCAGTTTTTGATTTTGAGGCTATTTCAGTGAAACAAGGCTGTTTTGAAACATTTGACAGATTTATGCTTAACTCTCTCAAAAAGTTACTGAAAGATACACTTTTGTATTTAAAAGCTGAAAAAGTAGATAATGAAGTATTTGTGTCCGTAGATTTCGTTAAGAATCTGACTCTTAATGGCAGTTTGTGATTTTGAGGCTATTTCAGTGAAACAAGGCTGTTTTGAAACATTTGACAGATTTATGCTTAAATTCTCTGAGAAAGTTACTGAAAGATACACTTGTTGTGTATAAAAGCTGAAAAGTAGATAATGAAGTACTTTGTATTAGTAGATTTCGTCAAACATCTGACTCTTAATGGCAGTTTGTGATTTTGAGGCTATTTCAGTGAAACAAGGCTGTTTTGAACATTTGACAGATTTATGTTTAATTCTCTCAGAAAGTTACTGAAAGATACACTTTTGTGTTTAAAAGCTGACCACTACCATGAAGTACTTTGTTTTAGTAGATTTCGTCAAGCATCTGACTCTTAATAGCAGTTTGTGATTTTGAGGCTATTTCAGTGAAACAAGGCTGTTTTGAACATTTGACAGATTTATGTTTAATTCTCTCAAAAAGTTACTGAAAGATACACTTTTCTTTTTAAAAGCTGACCACTACCATGAAAGTACTCTGTTTTATTAGATTTCGTAAAGCATCTTACTCTTAATGGCAGTTTGTGATTTTGAGGCTATTTCAGTGAAACAAGGCTGTTTTGAAACATTTGACAGATTTATGCTTAACTCTCTCAAAATGTTACTGAAAGATACACTTTTCTTTTTAAAAGCTGACGACTACCATGAAAGTACTCTGTTTTATTAGATTTCGTAAAGCATCTTACTCTTAATGGCAGTTTGTGATTTTGAGGCTATTTCAGTAAAACAAGGCTGTTTTGAAACATTTGACAGATTTATGCTTAACTCTCTCAAAAAGTTACTGAAAGATACACTTTTGTATTTAAAAGCTGAAAAAGTAGATAATGAAGTATTTGTGTCCGTAGATTTCGTTAAGAATCTGACTCTTAATGGCAGTTTGTGATTTTGAGGCTATTTCAGTGAAACAAGGCTGTTTTCAAACATTTGACAGATGTATGCTTAACTCTCTCAAAAAGTTACTGAAAGATACACTTTTGTATTTAAAAGCTGAAAAAGTAGATAATGAAGTATTTGTGTCCGTAGATTTCGTTAAGAATCTGACTCTTAATGGCAGTTTGTGATTTTGAGGCTATTTCAGTGAAACAAGGCTGTTTTGAAACATTTGACAGATTTATGCTTAAATTCTCTGAGAAAGTTACTGAAAGATACAAGTTTGTGTTTAAAAGCTGACCACTACCATGAAGTACTCTGTTTGAGTAGATTTCGTTAAGAATCTTTGACAGATTTATGCTTAAATTCTCTCAGAAAGTTACTGAAAGATACACTTTTGTATTTAAAAGCTGAAAAGTAGATAATGAAGTACTTTGTATTGGTAGATTTCGTTAAGAATCTGACTCTTAATGGCAGTTTGTGATTTTGAGGCTATTTCAGTAAAACAAGGCTGTTTTGAACATTTGACAGATGTATGCTTAATTCTCTCAAAAAGTTACTGAAAGATACACTTTTCTTTTTAAAAGCTGACCACTACCATGAAAGTACTCTGTTTTATTAGATTTCGTAAAGCATCTGACTCTTAATGGCAGTTTGTGATTTTGAGGCTATTTCAGTTAAACAAGGCTGTTTTGAACATTTGACAGATGTATGCTTAATTCTCTCAAAAAGTTACTGAAAGATACACTTTTCTTTTTAAAAGCTGACCACTACCATGAAAGTACTCTGTTTTATTAGATTTCGTAAAGCATCTGACTCTTAATGGCAGTTTGTGATTTTGAGGCTATTTCAGTTAAACAAGGCTGTTTTGAACATTTGACAGATTTATGCTTAAATTTAGGGCTGTGCGATTATGGCAAAAATCATAATCACGATTATTTTGGTCAATAATTGATATCACGATTATTTTGACGATTATTCATTGACCATTTATTGAACTTTAAAACAAATAATATTTTACCAATAAACAAGATCAACAAATATGTTGGAGCGCACTTCCAAAACCATACTAAACATATATTATTAATATGATAAATAAAAATAAATTAGACCAAAATAAATTAAATCCAATATGTTGCAGTGCACTGTCACAACCTACTGAAAACTCCTTAACATAGCCAACATTTGGTAAAACATATTCATTATTCCACTCAGTTAAACGTTGAAGGCTGGCCAACCGTCATGGTCCAGAAGTAACAGGAAATAAATGTTGAACTACAATTTAAGACCAAATAAAAATGTTTAGGCCACCATGACAAATGCTGGTAGGGCTGCTCATGTCATCTCTTAAAGATTTTTTCAAGAAACAACAGTCTGTTTACATGGTCTGGTTTCAGAAATGAGCGCAGGCAGGTGACGATATTGCCACCTGTACTGAAGACCCTCAGCCACGCCCCGACACATGGGGAGACGCCGGCCAATCACAAAGCTTTGATGCGTTCAAGTGCATTATTCTGGCACAGGAAGATTATGTTACAGGACATTAACGATACAACAGAATATTGTTGTTCTATTTTTAGACACATCTCGCGATCGACTGGTTGGGCACCCCTGGGCTAGACCATAGGTCCGTTGTGGTCGCAAAGTAGTCAGCTGAAGCCACATCTCTCAACTTCCCCACTGCATATGTCACATAGCGCAGGCAGCGCAGACCTGCTGAAATAATACCGAGACGGCATCGCGTAACGCTTGTCCAACGTGTTGACAAGTTGCTTAAAGCCCTGGTTGCTAACAGTGCTAACTGGGCACATATCTTTAGCGATGTGGAATGTAATGGCAAAGTACTTGCAAATAGTGGAAATAGTTTTACCCTTCTTTTTAACGAGTTGCTGCTCTTGTTCTGACATCTTCGCTCGCGCTGAACACTCACAACACATGTCACTCCCACGTGGCCGAGTGGGCTTTTAGGGAGGGGTGAAGCGCACCCAGCAAAATAATCGTATTTTGTCAATTATGCTGTTTTCATAATCGTCGCAAGCCATAATCGTAATCGCGATTAAAATACGATTAATTGCACAGCCCTACTTAAATTCTCTGAGAAAGTTACTGGAAGATACACTTTTGTATTTAAAAGCTGAAAAGTAGATAATGAAGTACTTTGTATTAGTAGATTTCGTTAAGAATCTGACTCTTAATGGCAGTTAGTGATTTTGAGGCTATTTCAGTGAAACAAGGCTGTTTTTAAACATTTGACAGATTTATGCTTAAATTCTCTGAGAAAGTTACTGAAAGATACAAGTTTGTGTTTAAAAGCTGACCACTACCATAAAGTACTCTGTTTGAGTAGATTTCAGCACAAAGGGTCTGACAGAAAAAACATAATGTTTTGAACATTTGGCAGATTTATGCTTATATTCTCTGAGAAAGTTACTGAAAGATACACTTTTGTGTATAAAAGCTGAAAAGTAGATAATCAAGTACTTTGTGTCAGTAGATTTCGTTAAGAATCTGACTCTTAATGGCAGTTTGTGATTTTGAGGCTATTTCAGTCAAACAAGGCTGTTTTGAACATTTGACAGATGTATGCTTAATTCTCTCAAAAAGTTACTGAAAGATACACTTTTCTTTTTAAAAGCTGACCACTACCATGAAAGTACTCTGTTTTATTAGATTTTGTAAAGCATCTGACTCTTAATGGCAGTTTGTGATTTTGAGGCTATTTCAGTGAAACAAGGCTGTTTTGAACATTTGACAGATGTATGCTTAATTCTCTCAAAAAGTTACTGAAAGATACACTTTTCTTTTTAAAAGCTGACCACTACCATGAAAGTGCTCTGTTTTATTAGATTTCGTAAAGCATCTGACTCTTAATGGCAGTTTGTGATTTTGAGGCTATTTCAGTGAAACGAGGCTGTTTTGAACATTTGACAGATTTATGCTTAACTCTCTCAAAAAGTTACTGAAAGATACACTTTTGTATTTAAAAGCTGAAAAAGTAGATAATGAAGTATTTGTGTCCGTAGATTTCGTTAAGAATCTGACTCTTAATGGCAGTTTTTGATTTTGAGGCTATTTCAGTGAAACAAGGCTGTTTTGAAACATTTGACAGATTTATGCTTAACTCTCTCAAAAAGTTACTGAAAGATACACTTTTGTATTTAAAAGCTGAAAAAGTAGATAATGAAGTATTTGTGTCCGTAGATTTCGTTAATAATCTGACTCTTAATGGCAGTTTGTGATTTTGAGGCTATTTCAGTGAAACAAGGCTGTTTTGAAACATTTGACAGATTTATGCTTAAATTCTCTGAGAAAGTTACTGAAAGATACAAGTTTGTGTTTAAAAGCTGACCACTACCATGAAGTACTCTGTTTGAGTAGATTTCGTTAAGAATCTTTGACAGATTTATGCTTAAATTCTCTCAGAAAGTTACTGAAAGATACACTTTTGTATTTAAAAGCTGAAAAGTAGATAATGAAGTACTTTGTATTGGTAGATTTCGTTAAGAATCTGACTCTTAATGGCAGTTTGTGATTTTGAGGCTATTTCAGTAAAACAAGGCTGTTTTGAAACATTTGACAGATTT